GGTCCCTCTCCACAGAGCTGCTCTCCAGCAGGTCAGCCCCAGCCTGTACTGGTGCCTGGGGTTGTTCATCCCCAGGTGCAGGACCCTGCACTTGCCCTTGTTGAACCTCATCAGGTTCCCTTCTGCCCAACTTTCCAGCCTGTCCAGGTTTGGTTTCCCAATGGTGCGTGTTTGGGGCTCAACGCTGCTGTGCTTGAATGGAGACTTCTGTTCACCAACAGGATGGAATCGTGTAGAACCAGAATTCTATTTATTTTCATAAGCTTCTGCACCCAAAAAAACCCTTGCGAAAACATCTGAGAGCTTGGGATGCGGCTCACTTCAAGCAGTAGTTTGTGAATTAAAGGACTCTTCAGTTGTCTGAGAGAAATGTTGCCAAGCTCAGCAGAAGGTACCGGGCTGGAGGTCTTCGCTTCTCCTGTAGGTCAGCCTGGGTGCACTTGTGGCACCATTTGGGCCTGGTTTGGGGAGGTGAGAACATCGAAGCATGGAATGATTTGGGTTCAAAGGGACCTTCAAAGATCGTTTAGCCCAACCCTCCTGTCTTGGGCAGGGACATCTTTCACTAGATCCGGTTGCTCAGAGCCCCATCCAACCTGACCTTGAATGCTTCCAATGATGGGGCATCCTCTGGGCAACCTGCTCCAGTGTCTCACCACCCTCATCAGAAAAGAGTTCTTCTTTATGTCTAATCTAAATCTACCTTCTTGCAGTTCAAAACCGTTGTTCCATCTTTCTTGTAAGCCCCCTTTAAGTACTGATAGGCCACAAGAAGGTCTCCCTGGACCTTCTCCAGGCTGAACAACCCCAAGTCTCTCAGCCTTTCCTCCCAGCAGAGGGGTTCCAGCCCTCGCATCATTGCTGGGGCCTCCTCTGGCCCCGCTCCAGCAGCTCCAGGTCTGTCTTGTGCTGAGGGCTCCAGAGCTGGATGCAGGACTCCCGGGGGGGTCTCACCAGAGCAGGGCAGAGGGGCAGAATCCCCTCCCTCACCCTGTGCCCACGCTGCTGGGGATGCAGCCCAGGGTATGGTTGGCTTTCTGAGCTGTGAGCACACATTGATTGGTCATGTCCAGCTTTTCACCCACCAGCATCCCCAAGTCCTTCTCCTCAGGGCCGCTCTCAATCCGTTCATCCCACAGTCTGTCCTGATACTGGGGAATGCCCCAACCCAAGTTGAGGACCTCGGACTTGGCCTTGTTGAACTTGTTCATCCCACAGTCTGTCCTGATACTGGGGAATGCCCCAACCCAAGTTGAGGACCTCGGACTTGGCCTTGTTGAACTTCATGAGGTTCTCATGGGCCCACTCCTCCAGCCTGTCAGGGTCCCTTTGGATGGCATCCCATCCCTCAAGCAAATCAACCACACCACCCAGCTCAGTGTCATCTGCAAACTTGCTGAGGTGATACCCAATCCCACTATATGTCATTGATGAAGTTACTGAATAGTGTTGCTCCCAGTATGGACCCTTGAAGGACACCATTCATTACTGGTTTCCACTTGGACATTGAGCCATTGACTGTAACTCACTGGATGTGGCCATCCAGCCAATTCCTGAGCCATCTAACAGTCCATCCATTGAACTCACATCTCTCCAATTTAGCACCAGGAGTATTGTGTGGGACCATATCAAAGGCCTTACAGAAGTCTAGGTAGATGACACCTGTAGCTCTTCCCTTGTCCACCAATGCAGTCCCTCCACCGTAGAAGGCCACTACCTTTGTCAGGCCCTTGATGAAGCCATGTTGCCTGTCTAATCGCCTTCCACGTGTTTTGACATGCCTTCCAGGAGGACCCCAGTCTTATTCAAATTACTCATCAATGACCTGGATGAAGAGTTAGAATGTACCCTCAGCAAGTGTGCTGATGACACAAAACCAGGAGGAGTGGTGGATACACCGGTGCAGGCTGTGCTGCCATCCAGCGAGACCTGCACAGGCTGGAGAGTTGGGCGCAGAGGAACCTGATGAAGTTCAACAAGGGCATGTGCAGGGTCCTGCACCTGGGGAGGAACAACCCCATGCACCAGTACAGGCTGGGGCGGACCTGCTGGAGAGCAGCTTTACGGAGAGGGACCTGGGAGTGCTGGGGGACGACAGGGTG